CCCCACCACCCCAGGGATATTTGGAAGTGTCTGGAGACACTTTTGATAGGCACAGCTACATGTAGTGAGTAGAGGCCAGGGATTCAGATAAATCTACAATGCACAAGACACACTTCCTTCACCAACAAAGAATTATGTGGCTCAAAATGCCAAGATAATGATTGAGATAGCAATTATCTCAATAAAAAAGTTCAATGAATGAAAGCCTTTCCTCTAATTCTAGTATAAGACAAGGATGCCCACTTTCACCACTTTTATTCAACATAATACTGGAAGCCCCAGACAGAACAATTAGGCAAGAGAAAGAAATAAAAGGCATCCAAATTAGGAAAGAAAAGGTCACATTATCCTTGTTCACAACCTTATGTTATATTTAGAAAAATCTAAAAACTCCACAAAAAGACTGTTAGGACTGATAAACAAATTCTATAAAGTTGCAGGATATAAAATTAACATATAAAATTAGTAGTATTTGTATATATGCCAACAGCAGCAATCTGAAGAAGAAAACAAGAAAGCAAGCCCTTTTATAATAGATACAAAAATATATAAAAGGCTTAGGAATAAATGTAACCAAAGAAGTGAAAGATCTCTACAAGGAAAAGAATAAAACACTGGTGAAAGAAATTTTGAAGAGGACATGAACCCCCCAAAATAGAAAGATAGCCCATACTAATGGATTTGAAGAATCAATATTGTTAATCTGTCTAGACTACCCAGAGTGATCTACAGATACAGAGCAATTTCTGTCAAATGACCAATGGCATATTCTTCACAGAAATAGAAAAAAAAAACAATCCCCAAAAGTGTATGGAACCACAAAAGTCTCCAATTAGCCAAAGCAATCCTGTGCAAAAAGAACAAAGCTACCTGACTTCAGAATATATTACAAGGCCATAATAATTAAAACAGCATGGTGATAGCATAAAAACAGATACACAGAACAATGGAACAGAATAGAGGACCCAGAAATAAATCCATGCATTTAAAGCCAACTCATTTTTAACAAAGGGGTCAAGAACAGACATTGAGAAAAAGACAGTGTACGCAATAAATGGTACTGTGAAAGCTAGCTGACCCTATGCAGAAGAATAAAGCTAGCCCCTATCTTTTACCATTTACAAAAATCAAATCAAAATGGTGAGCTTGGCTCATTAGGCAACCTCCTCTTCCACAGATGGAGGAATGCGGACTCAGGAGGATCTTATAAGACATACCAAGGAGCCACGTTCTTGGTCATAAATGGGCCCTGAACGACAGCTTCTAGATATTTCACTGGAGCCGGAGAGAATCCAGGAGTGTGAGGGGGACATGGAACAAATGTACCAAGCAAGGGGTGCTGCTTTTCATGCTGACTCCAGGAAAGTCCTTGTTTCATAGGAGTAAAAGGGAAACTCCTTTCACCTTTCGGTCCCTAGATGACAGATACATTTTCCCCAAATTGCTATTATTTTGGATATGGCCAAAGTAGTGCTTTTAAATATCACTCATTTTATATATCACAGGGAAGCTGCTAGATTTAATGAAGTCTCTAGATGTCCCCTGAGAGATGATTATAACCCTAATTAAAAATGGGGGATGGCAGATGAGAACCCCATGGGACCCTGAGCAAGTGGCATTTGTACATATTTTTTCATAGAGAAGATTACTTTGTTCTTGTCAGTTTGGGCCTTTTCCAGTAGTAAACGGTCATGTCACCAAAGTCTAATGCGGTTCAAAGGTCAGGAAACATTTTAAATTGTATGGGACAAAAAAAGGTTTACAAATCAAGGCAGACTTCCATTTCTTTTATTTCATAAACTTGGATTTAAGGCTGGGTATGGTGGCTTACACCTATGACCCCAGAACTTTGGGAGGCCGAAGTAAGAGGATAGCTTGAGGCCAGGAGTTCAAGATCAGCCTGTGCAACATAGTGAGACCCCTTCTCTACAAAAAAATTAAAATATTAGCCAGGCGTGGTGGCACGCACCTGTAGTCCCAGCCATCTGAAAGGCCGAGGCGGGAGGATCACTTGAGCTCAGGAGTTTGAGGCTGCAGTGAGCTATGATGATGCCACTGCACTCCAGCCTGGGCAGAGTGAGACCCTGTCTCAAAAACAAAACAAAACAAAAACAACAACAACAACAAAAACCCTGTATTTACCAAGTGCAGGAGTACATATAGCCTAGAATATAACAGAAATAACCTAAATGAATTCTCTCTTAGCGTCAAATCTAGGTGTGGAAAAGAGTAAGGAGGAATGAGTAGGGCAGGCTGAAGATTAAGGATCTACACTCAGGCAAGTGTTTGGGGACCAGGTAGGTGTGGCAGGTCAGAGTAAGGAGTTGGGCATGGATCCAGGTGACCAAATGAAGGTTAAATGATTGTCAGGTAAGTCCTGATGTTCAAGGCAGGAGACCGGGGAGATTGAGACACCAGGATCAGAAGGCAGAGCCACTAACAGGAGCTCATCTTATCACAAGAAGGCTGGCCACACTGGCTAGTCCTTGGAGAGTCCTGGCCCTACATAGGTCCCAAAGGGACAGCTGCACTGCTTAGTATTCACAATGGGGGTGCAGGGGTAGGATGGAGCCAGAGACAGCCAAACACAGAAGGGCACAGCTCGTTGGAAGGCCTTAGGGTCTGATGGGGCTTCTACGTTAGAATGTAACATAGTCCTGGGCCAAGATCTTAGTAGCCTACACAGATGCATACCCACTTCCAAAGGCAAAGGTGATGTTGCATCTTTAGGTAATGTACTTGCATCTCCTTAATCCACGAGCATCTCATACCAAGGAGAAATTAAACAGGACAGAGCTGGGCCACCATGAAGACAACTGTACCATTGGACAAGGGTCTAATGCAAGCCACATCAGGGACTTCACTGTGATTGCATCGTGAATGTGGCAACCACATTATCCACCAACCCTGCACTAACTGGCATGAATCGGGGCAGGTCTCTGACAACAGAAATCCTGTGATTCAAAACCCCTTCCTTGATAGGATGAACGTACCAGGCAGGGCTCTCATCCTTGCAGACACAGAGCCTGAGACACCATGTTGCCCTGGGAGACTGACCTGCAAGTTTTAATAATGATCATCGAGTCTTTTTTGAGGACTGGCAAGACTTGGTGATCCCCCACCAGTGTCCAGGCCTGGGGAATTATCTCCAGAATATACAGATGTGGAAATATTCCTGATCCCACTCTGTTTGCTTTGAGGCTAATGGTCCCCAATCTCATCTTTAGCCTCAATTCCTCCCCAAATCTCTCACTCAATGCATCGCAAAATGTGTACCCGTGATTCCCAAATACAGTGGTGAAGACCACTAACCAGGCACATAGCAGTGCTGGGCTTTTCCAAAACGGAGATTGCCCAGCCAACCTGATAGAGACCACTCCATGGAGATCGACAGAGGAGTTGGCAGTGGCTGCAGGGCTCTGATTCCCACTCCATTTATTGGTGGAACCCCAGGAATTCCTCTTTCTTGGACCAGCTAGCGACTTCCCTTCCTGGCAGGCCAGACACGGTTGTGTGCTGGCGACACTTCTGCAGAGCCAGCCAGCGCCAGCCTGAGGTTGGCCATGCCAGAGGGTTCCTAGCATCCCAGAGGATGAACCTTGCCGAGTCCTGCCACTGTCCTACCAGTTTCCTCCAAGGCCCCTGAGATCTGATATTACGGTATTTGATAATTATTACTAACGAGCCCAGATCATCAACCTTAGTTTTGGTGAAATTGCTTTTGTCTATTTTATGATCCTCGCCAGAAGAAAGAGTTTGCAGAGCTTAGTCTTCCTTCAGAAATTCCCAGTCAATCGATTTTTGAAGGTGCTGCTTCATTTTCAAAATATTTTCCAATGGTGACAAAGATGATGGTAGCCGAAAACCCTGAGAAATATCTACAAGGATTTTTCAAGATGCTAGAACTTGACAACATACATCCCTGCTACTTTCCACTTCTTTCCACTCACCTTAGCAAACCGATAAATTCTGTATTCAGGGTATTCAATAGAACATTCAGCACATATCCTTAACGGCTCTTAGAAATCTGCTCTGTCGATACATAAGCTATTCAAAGGAAGGGCTTTTAAGCTCATTGTTGAACATGGTAATGTGATATCTTGCAATCACAGAGTCCAAGAATAAACTAGAAGGTATCTTATAGATAGTCTAGTCTGATTTAAGGACGCTAATAACTTAGTAACTTTGCCCGAGAACACACAGCTACTAAGTGGCTGAACTTGACTCAAAACCAAACATGAAGATCATAAACCATCTTTCTGCTGCCCTGATACCATATATATGATACCTACATACCCCGCCCCTCTCTCTATATATAGATATATGCACACACACATCAAAGGATTAAGTTTGGCATCACATAGACCCAATTGTCTTGAAGAAACCGTCAGCCCCACCAAAACAATAGTCCATTTAAATTTAGGCAGCCTGGCCAGGCCCAGGGCCTCACCAGCCCCCCAGAAAACAGAGTATTGTTTCCATCCTAACCTTGCACTGAAAGGAAGCCTGTCAGCTGGCAATGACCTCGTGAGACAACTTTGGGGAGAGCAAAGGCCCGAGAGGAGAAAGGCCTCATTCTCACTGCAAACAGGAAGAGGAAAGAGAAAAAGCGAGCTCTGTCTCCACACGAGGTTTGCTGGGTTGGCTATGAACCGTTCCGGTATGTTCCATCAAATAGACACCTTCACAGAACCAAGCCAAGCGCGGACGCTGTGTCTGGGACTCCCGCTCCCGGGACGCACACGTGGGCCGGCTCACACATGCTCCTGCTCTCTCGCACCCTGGGAGAGCGCTTATATGGGCTTCATGAGGCTAAGTCATAAACACTTTGTCTTCACCCTGCTATTTATGGGTTGCTTGGGGCATCCTGTTCTCTCTGCTGCCCTTACCTGAACAGACGGCTCTTGCAGACCCCGAGTTTAATAGGGACAACAGTAAATCTGAGCGGCTCTGTGTGCCCCACATGCTCCTGTTTCCCTGGCCGCCCCTGCTAATTGCAGAGGAAGGCCAATCTGTATCGGTCCGTCTATTCTCTGTGGTCCCTTCCTCGGGGTGAAATCCCGTCTCCTTTTTCCTGGGGCCCTTGTTTTCTTCTTTCCTCTCAGACATCTAAGATATCCTCGTCTAGTTTACCACTGCCAGGGGCCCTTCCTTCTTCAGCAACGAATCAGACAAGTCTGAGAACAAGAACAATCCTGCAAGCTGCCAACCACCAGCTCTGGCCTCCAGCAGAGGGTGTCAGGAAACTCGGGTGACCACGCACAAGCAGAGAGGTAAGGAGATGATCTGGTCTTACCTGGTGCTGACTTCCAGGGTCACTTAAAGACCTTGTGCTTCTCCTTGCACATTGTGTGTGGGTTGCAAAGGGGCAAGGTGCACATCTGAAAGCCAGAGTGTGCCCAGGCCAACAAGACGTCTGAAAGCTGCAGGGGACCACGCTGGCAGAGTCCAGTGGCTGCAGAACCACAGCCGATCGCTTTGGTCAGTGTGGGGGCGGCCCTTTTCACTCAGCTCTTTTGGGGGTTCCCGGGCTCTCCCAGGTGGCAGGTCCTGCGAGGAGAGATGTAGTCACGGCTGCACCCTGTGACCTTGTGGACCATCACACGAGCCCGGAGCCCGGCCACCTCTCGGTCCTGCCGTCGTCTTGGGCTAACCGGTCGTCTCCTACAAACACACAAGACGGAGAAGGATGCGTTAACTCGGCCTCTCCCCGCAGAATACAGTTCGCCATTGCAGCACTGATTAAATACAGGACATTATCTCACCATAATGCCCTCCTGGCGGCGTTCCCAGGAAAATTCTAACTAATCATAAAAATAGAAAGAAAAACGCAACCTAAATTCCATTCCTCGTCTTAAATGAGTGATGTGTTCACTTTTATTTATTTTTCTGGAAGCGAGGCGGGAAAAGAAAATGAATTTTAGGGCTTAGAAAAACAAGCTACTAATAGTACTAAGTAGAGCTGGGCGGTGGTGCAGACAGCTCAGCTCCAGCAGGAATGGAGCCGGCACGGCCTGGCTGAGCCCCGGCCCTGCTGCGGGCCGTAAACCTCGAGTTTAACGCTGGAGCACCTGGAAGGACAAAGCCAGGATGGGGCGAGGCAGTAGGGAGGGTGGTGAGGTTGAATGTAGACACACACACACATACACACACATACATGTACACGCACACACGCACACAAGCTAGCTTTCTTATAGGTCCAGTGGGCAAGCGGTGTCTGACCTTTCTCTAGCCTTAGCAACATTCTTTCTGGAAACGCAGGCATGGTTTAGGTATTTCCTCCCTGGAAGAGTCTTTTTCTCAGACTCACCTGGCTAATTCCTACTCATCCTCTAGAGATCAGAACAAATGGAAGCCTTCTGTAAGAAGCCCCACCCCAACTCCAGTCCAGGGGTTGGCCTTCTAGACCTTCTCTTCACGGCAGTCACATGACGGTCACCCACGCCTTGAATGCATATTCGGTGGCTGAACTTGGTTGCCTGTCCCCTCCCTTAGACTGACGATGTGTTTGTCTTGTTACCTACTCTGTAAGTGCCAGGTATATAGTAGATGTTCAATAAATGCCTGTGTTGGATGAGTACCGAGGGTCTGTCCAGCCCAGGCATGGCACCTGATGCCACTTTGGTAAGGCCCAGGCTTAGTGGCAAGGAACAGATGTGGAACCCGATCATGGCACATCCACTACACTTAGAACCGAGCTTTTCCCAGACCATTTCTGCTCTTTCCTTCTGGGAAGGCTTCATGGGGCTCGACTATAGGAGAGTTCAAACTCCTGCAGACCAGATTCTGATGCTCCTCATGAGATCACATTGAATGAAAATACAATAAAAGACATGCCCCACCCCCCCTCCAGCCTCTCCCTGCCCCGGCTCCGGCATTAGAATCCCACGTTGCCACCCCCCATCCCCGCTACCGCTGAAGTAATGGGCACCGCTACTTGATGGCGAAGTTCTAGCTGGGCTAATTAAGCATACTGAGCTAATAACCTTCCATTTTGGGACCAGTGTTATTCATAATTTAATGTATTGCTGCTGAAACATTAACCTTTCGACAACTGGCTTGCTGCCCACAGCGGCCCAAGTGCCGGCCATCTTTCAGTAAAATGAGTATTATTGTTAAAACAGGTATAAATCATTCATGGCTGCAGCTTTTGTGTCAGACCCTACGTGAAAATAAGCAGTAAGCCGGGTAATTTATTTACCTTTTGGTGATTATTTTTTATGATTTTATGATCATATTCAATGATTCATAAACATTGGCCCGGTGCCATTTTGTAATCATTTTACATTTTAAATATTGCGCGGCTTGTCCTGCTTTTCATCTTTAAAAAAAAAAAAAAATTTCAGGATTGATACCGGGCAACTTTGTCCAGACCCAAATGCAATTTCATCTGAAAGAAGGTACGGGAGGGTGGGAGGGGGGGCTGGAAATAAAAAAAGAGTCCCGGCCCCTTCATTTTTAACAAACCATTTTCAACAGAGCTGCTGGGAGCTTCCACTTGTTCCAGCATTGCACTTACTGCAGCAAACTTTCTTTGAAGTTTAACACACAGAGGGTGCCTTGAAATCTGAATAAAAGCACAGGAAAACAGTTAACAAGCTTCTGGTTGGAAAGATGACGGGAAGGAGCCAAAGGTGGAGGGAGGCCTGGGGAGGCTGGCCCAGGGCCAAGGAGGTTGGAAGCAACTCGCCCTCCTCCCAGCACCTGGTTGGGGAATGTGATTACAGTCCCCCGGGGATCTGGAAACTCTTTACTGCCTGCCTGCCTGCCTGCCCCTGCTGCCTGTGCTGGGTTTGGGCTCCCAGAACCGTTCCAGAAAGTAGCTCTTTCTTCTTAGGACTCCTGGGCAGTGGTGGGGTCTTTCATGCCCTGCGAGCTCAAGAGACCTCCCTCCATCCCTCATGTTCTCTTAGGGTATTCCTGCACAGTTGCTTCCTAAACCAATGAAAACACAGAATCGCTGGTATGGAGTAGCCGAAGCTGAAGTTCTCATGGTGGGAGGGAAATGGGGCAGGAGAAGGCAGAGAATGTGACATCCTGTTAAAACGCTTCCTCAAGGCAGAAGCATGCCCGGGAGCAAGCTTGTTTCTAGAATCAGGCATGTTGGCACAGAGGGGAACTCAGCAAGGAAGACTGACTGGCCCCGCTTTGCCCCCAGCGTAAGAGATGAGATCTTAAAACACAGCCACAAGTATGTGCCGTCAACAAACACCCACACCCACAGGGGAAGCCGAGGCAAGAGGAAAACAATGGATATATTCCTTTCCGGGACAGTATGGCTAGGGCAGCTCTGCCACCGCTTACTGTCTTTCTGTGAATTTCAATTTGTGTGTTTTCCCATTTATAGCTTTCATGACTCTTTTCAATTTGATCATCTGGTTTTAGGTTTTACCTGGATTTATATTTATATGTAAATGTATATATATATTTCAAATAATTTAATTTTTCATTGTGATAAAATACATACCATGTAAAGTTTGCCCTCTTAACCATGTTTAAGTATACAATTCAGTGGTGTGAATCACATTTGCTATGTGGTGCAACTATCGCCACCGCCTATTTCCAAAGTTTGTCATCACTCAAAACAGAACATCTGTACCCATTAAGCAACAAGTCCCTACTCCTTCTCCTCCCACCGACCTGCCCCCACCCCACCAAGCCCCTGGAAACCTCTCATCTACTTTCTGTCTCTATGGATTTGCTATTCTGAACATTTCATATATATAAATGGGCATCCTATAATATTTGTCCTTTTGTGTCCGGCTTTCACTTAGCATGATGTTTTCAAGGTTCATCCACTTCATAGCCACGTATCTGAACTTCATTCTCTTCTACACTGAATAATATTCCATTGTATGGACAGGCCACATTTTGTTTATCCATTCACCTGGTGATGGACTTTGGATTGTTTCTACATTTTGGCTATTGGAACAATGTTGCTATGACTTCGGGTGTACACAGTGAGTCCCTGTTTTATTTTTTTTTTTTTTCGCCATTACATTTTTTTCGTCAAAGGTTGCTGCACATTATATACTCCGATCTCCCTTTATCTTGGCTGCTCTGCTTGCTAGCTTGGCAGAGCTGGTCCGGGCACAAGCGGCAAAGCCATTCACGCCTGGGAATTCCTGTCTGGCCACGCTGTCAACACTGCTGCTTCAAAGGACTTCTTGCAGTCACCCTCCAGCACTGCCAAGGCTGGTGCCAGGTTTGAGTTCTGCACCAGTAGTAGCCTCCTTTCCCTACGCTGGACAGGATAAAACAGGCTGCCGCTCAGGTATGCTAAAGAACAAATTAAGAAACAGAATAACCTGGGACGGGTGAGATTCCCTTTCAATCATGTCAGCCAGAGCAGATGTTGTCATGAAACGTGATGTTAGGGATTTATTTCCTGATATAAAGTCTAAAAGGGAAAACAGCGCAAGAGCTGAAATGTGAATTGGACACGTCTATAGAGTGTGAATTGGATTCAAGACAAAATATTGTGAATGGTTAATAGGGTCAGTCTAAGTATACTTGCTGAAATAATCTCTTGGATATGCAAATATTCTGAGAACTACACTGTCAAATATCTATTGTATCCTCTTATCTGTGTGTTCACAGAACTGCTACATGTTATAACAAACGAAAAATGTGAATTTAAAAAATAATGTCACCCTAAAATAATACTTTACTTTGAATAGTAATTTTTGTTGTTGAGTTTTTTTTTTTTTTTTTTTTGGTCACAGACCAGATAGCTAGGTTCTTACTGCAGTATTATTTGGAAATATTAAGAGACGGGCTTTGCACGTCCTGTAACAGACATGGGGGAGGAGGAGGGAGGGAGCAGGAATAGGCCGTGTGTCTTCCAGGCCGCCATGAGTGCCCGCCATGCCTTGGCATTATCCCAGTGGGACTTGTGCATCTGGCTCCCTGGGGGCCCTCTCAGTGGAATTCCCTTTCCTGGGGACATTGTCTCGAGGACTTGAGGTACTATTTACATTTTTCCCATGTCACCCTAGTAATCAGTCCGTTACGCACTGGGGACAAGGGAATTCACGGGAAGGACACTTAGAGAGAAGCTGTAGGTTCTACTGTTGGCAGCTTCCAGGGCTCCCCCATCAAAGTGCTCACTAACACCGTTAGCAAGTAGCCAAACTGACCAGGTTTTGTTCCATTTCTTTCCCTAATTTCTGAGTTCTGTAACTTAACATTTTCATTGGATGTATACATAAAATATGTAAGTTATTTACCATAGTTTTTTTAACCAAAACTTATATCAACTTCTAAATTCACATTTAATTTATAAAATAGATTCAAATGCATTTATATATATATATATATAATTTCTTCATTGATCTCACTTTGTATTTGTATAAACACGAATGTCATTCATGCTTTGTAGCTACCAAAATATCTACCATAAACATCATTGATATCATTTATTAATTATTTAATACCTTATTAGAGTCATATTTTTCACAGAATTGTGGTATGAATCTCGAGTGAGCAGAGAAGGAACAGACAGAGCAGAGAAAGGTGGACAGCAGGCGGATGACCCTGACAAACTACTACTCACATTCTAGAACAGTCCACAGCCCGTGGTAGGTACTTTAAAAAATGTTATATGCTGAACGAACAAACATCAGCCACCGATCTAGCCAATGGGTGAGCCTTTTCTTCTCTTTGGTCCAGCCTGCATTTGCCGCATTTGATTAACTTTACCAATCTTTGGTAGGATTTGGCTCTCAGAAATATCAGGAAGCGGT